TTGTAGGTAACTGAGTTTCTTTCTCTTGCTGTTTTTAAGATTCTCTCTTTATCTTTTGCTCTTGGCATTTTAATTATGATGTGTCTTGGTGTGGTCCTCTTTGGATTCCTTTTGTTTGGGGTTCTCCGCGCTTCTTGGACCTGTAAGTCCATTTCTTTCACCAGGTGGGGGAAGTTTTCTGTCATTATTTCTTCAAATAGGTTTTCAATATCTTGCTCTCTCTCATCTTCTGGCACCCCTATAATTCTGATGTTGGTATGCTTGAAGCTGTCCCAGAGGCTCCTTACACTATCCTCGCATTTTTGGATTCTTTTTTCATTTTGCTTTTCCGGTTGGGTGTTTTTTGCTTCCTCGCATTTCAAATCATTGACTTGATTCTTGCGCTCCTCTGGTCTGCTGTCGGGAGTCTGTATAATATTCGTTATTTCAGTCCGTGTATGCTTAATTTCTAGTTGGTTCCCCAATATAAGATCGAGGGTCTTATTAGTTTTCTTGTAGATCTCATTAAGTTTATCGGCGGCTTCTAAACAGTTCTTGAGAGACCTTAAAAGTGTGGTTCTGAACTCTATATCTTCCATTGACAATTTTGTCCTGTTTCTTTGTCTCCGCATTTTGTTATGCTTCCTTGGTGCACCCCCTAGTGGTCTTTGTTCGCAGTCTTATAGTTAAATCTTGATTGTAGCTAATTCCAGGGAGGGTTTGACCTCCAGGCCAAGTGGCTATGAGAATCAGCTGTGTCAGCAGTGAGAGCACTTCTGTCCTCTAGGGAGATGCTAATCTGGCGTTTGCCTGAGGCTATCCGGCAAATGCCTGTGTGCAGGGCTTGGGCGGGGCGGGTCGCACAGGATCAACAGGGTGGGCCGGAGAGAGCAGTTATGGCGGCTCTCAGTCCTGTCCCCAGGGGCTCTGCCTCTCTGAGTCCCAGCACCCGCTGCAAAGCTCAGAGAGAAAGCTTCACTCGCTCTGACTGAAGCCAGACAGTCCCGCTTCTGCCGTTTGAGTCTGGGTCCCTAAAGACTCGCCCGGATCTGGAGCTCAGAGTCTGCGACTCCCTCCCGATTGAAAACGCCAACCGTGCCCTCCGCCGCCAGCCCGCTCCGCGCACTCCGCACCTCAGAATTTGACTTCAGCACTGCGCCTCCTCTGAGTGTCCGTATGCGTTTCTCTTTCCTCCTAGTTGTAGGACTTCCACTCAGCCGGCGTTCCTGTGGTTCTGGGTGATGTCCCTTCCGTTTTTTGGTTTCACTTTTGAAGTAGTTGTTCAAAGCAGCAAACTCCGGCGTTAACCTATGCCGCCATCTTGGTTCTCTCCCCTTGGTGTTTATTAAAAAATAATATTATGGCCCTAGCTGGTTTGGCTCAGTGGATAGAGCGTCAGCCTGTGAACTAAAGGGTCCTGGGTTCGACTCCAGTTAAGGGCACATGCCGGGTTGCAGGCTTGATTCCCAGTGGGGGGCATGCAGGAGGCAGTCAATCAATGATTCTCATCATTGGTGTTTCTATCGCTCTCTCCCTCTCCCTTCCTCTCTGAAATCAATAAAAAAATATTATTAATATTATGTATTAGCACAGACATTTAAGGTTGCATAATACATATTATTAAAAAGACAACTACTGTTCCTAAGCTTTGTTCCTTCTGTGATTGGTCTCCACTGTTTTCTCTCCATGGGTTTACAACTGGCAGTATAGGTTTTGGGGCAGCACGCGCAGGTCTAAATCGGGGTGGGGGTGTTCGGTCCTTCCGGGCTTCATGAGAACGATTCCTGACTACCTTGCTGTGAATGGCACAGCTCACACAGTAATGCAGCTTCACATACAGCTTGGGAAGCACATAGGCGTCGAAGACACTCGCTTCGGAGATGTCCCTAACGGCTGCGGCCTCCACTATGTTTCGGATGACAAACTTCTTAATGGCCTTGTCCTTGGGCACGCACCGGGCGCAGTTGGTGCACATGCAATTACACTTACAGATTATCAAACTTTCATGCTTGGGTGCATTTTTGGGTTTTCTCTGTTATTTAAGAGACACGTGGGTATATATATATGTAGAACATCTAATATGTGTTGAGCTCTGAAGGATACTTGGCACAGGATAAACACTAAAGAAACATTGACTAATGTGGAGTATAACCTAATTGTTCATTGGTGGAAACTGACTGTCATCACCCTAATCTGGAGTTAATCTTTGAAGGCAACCAGATAGTCTGTGTCCCCTAATCTGACACATTACCTAGGATGAACTCTTGCCAGAAATACTTAACTGGTCTCCATTAAGCTGAGGCTTGCAGAGCCAACTTCGTTTCCAGAAACATAACTAAATGCAGGTAAATGATACCATAAGGAAGCAACCAGACTGATACAGAAGACGGAATACTTTTCTGGACAACTTGCCCATCAACAAGTCAGAATCACAAAAAAGAAATTGTTCTGAAATAAGAGAGACTTCATGGAAATAACCAGATGCAATAAGTGATCCTGGATTAGATCCAAATTCATTAAAGAACAGTCTGGAGGAAGTATGTATATGAATTGGGTATTAGATAATATTAAATAACTATTAACTTTAAGTGTGATATTATTTTGCCTGTTATTTTTTTTAAAAGATGCATCTTCAAGTAAAAAAAAAAGTAACATTGGCTGAATGAATGAATGAATGAATGAATGAATGAAAGAAAAAGTCTGGACTGCAGATATAGGTTTAATAGTCAATAGCATGCATGGTAATTAAAACCATGAGAGTAGATGAGATCGCCTAACAGTGGTCGGCAAACTGCGGCTTGGCAAACCGTGGCTTGCGAGCCACATGTGGCTCTTTGGCCCCTTGAGTGTGGCTCTTCCACAAAATACTGACTTCTGCGCATTGGCCACGAAGTTTCAATCGCACTGTACGTGCACGCCACCACGTGGTATTTTGTGGAAGAGCCACACTCAAGGGGCCAAAGAGCCACGTGTGTCTCGTGAACCGCAGTTTGCCGACCACGGGCTAGGAAAGTGTGTAAGGCAAGATAAAGAGATGTGAACCAAAGGGATTACAAACATTCCCAAGACTAGATATAGAACCATCAACTGGAAAAGAGCAGCTGGAGAAGTCAGGCCATGAAGAAAATGGTACTCCACAAGCTAAAGGAGGAGTTTCAAGAGGGATTAAAGCAATTTATAATGTCCAATCCTAAAGAGAGATCAAGCTGGATAAATACTGGAAAGAGGTGTCTAACAAATAACAAACAGAAGGTCAGTGATGACCAGACTGAGAGGAGTTTCAGGAGAGTGACTGGAGCAGAAGTCGGGAATGAACTGCAGTTGCAGAAGTGGAGACATCACCCCTTTTTCAAAGAACTTTGGAGTTTCTCAGAAAGATGAGAACCTGTATAAATAATACACATTGTTCAGATAATGAAATCCCTAGTGATGGGTACTAACATGCAGTAACAAGTAAGTGAAAGACAATATGAGGGACAGAAGTTGATTGCAGAGTTGTAAAATAAAGGATTCCTCACAAAATGCCTACACAAAATAAATATCCGCTATTATATTTATAATAGTCTGTAAATTCAATATAACTATAGTTTGTTTTTTTCTACTTGCCTCCTAAAGAAAGGTGATATAGCAATCTTTTATATAGATGTGTTCCACTGTATAAAATGGATTGGTCTGCTTCAAAATTGGAAGTAAATTTTTGCAATTCAAGTAATTAAGTGAATCAGGAAAAGTATTTATTATCTAACCTAATTAGCCCGAGGCTCCAATATGTTTATTCAGGTCATTTCTTTGTAAATAACATTAATAATAAATGAATTACTTTGATTTTACAACACATATCCCTTGGTCCCTTCTAATCCCATGAGATATGCAGAATAGGTATTATCAGTCCTATCTGACTCCAAAACATTCTTCTGCTACAAGGGACTCTGTTTGGAAGAATGAGTGATTTTCCTTGGAGGGATACTGTGCATCCAGAAAAGTTGTGGAATATCCCTGAAGCTGTTCAGCTTTCTTTTCTTTTTCTTTTTTTTAAAAATATATTTTATTGATTTTTTACAGAGAGGAAGGGAGAGAGATAGAGAGTTAGAAACATCGATGAGAGAGAAACATCGATCAGCTGCCTCCTGCACACCCCCCACTGGGGATGTGCCCGCAACCAAGGTACATGCCCTTGACCGGAATCGAACCTGGGACCTTTCAGTCCATAGGCTGACGCTCTATCCACCGAGCCAAACCAGCTAGGGCTGTTTAGCTTTCTTAATAAATTTAACCATGGCCTCTTTACATTCTTAAACTCAGCCCAAGTCTCTGAAGAGTCTTTAAAAAAAAGAAGAGGAACTTAGAAAAAATCTGTACACTTACAGAATAAAATTGTATTCTTTTGTCCTTTGTTAAACAATTAACAATTACTTTTTAAAAAACTAGAGTCAGTTTTTGTTTTATTGAGATATAATTGTACACTATTTAATTGCATTCCTACCCCTTAACATAACATAAATTTTCCAAATTCTGTATAATGATGATATAATTTTTGTAATCAGAAAAAAATTAAAAACTGAGATTGACGTTAAATATAGTAACTATGGCAATGAGACAAGATCTGAAGGTTGGGTTTTATATCTGAGAATCCACTCATTGTACATGAGCTTACTTACTTCACCTCTATATTTCATGTTGTCTGTTAGTCTGCCAAAGTCTTTAGCTCCCCTCTATCCAAAGACTCTCTGGAAAGAAAAGTGGAATGCTTTGGGACCCTACGAAGGCTACGAGAAATTAGTAGAAATATATTGAGACATGCACGGTTGCAAAGACCCTTTGCAACACCCTCTGACAGCTCAGAACAATAACAAAGAATGAATCTAGTCTTCACTGGGTGAGACATTTAAATTATATAAATCTACATGCAACAATACATATAAATGACTACACTGAAATTACCTTCAGGATGTTTAAAAATACTTTAAAAACAAAAACTTTTGTTAATTATATTGTAGTTAATTTGTAAACAGTTTTCTCACCTTCGTGGCCTAGTTCTTGGGGACATCATTTCATTCCCAAGTATGTGGTACCGCCTTGCTTCATGCAACAACTGATAACACTCAGGAGAATTCTGGATCAATTGGTCCACCTCAACTGTTTGAACAAAGTAGTTGGGATGCAACAGAGGGAGTCTCACATGTGTCAGGAGCTCATGTAATAGTGGTCTTCTCAGATCAACAGCACGATAGACCCAACGCATGACAGCTTCAAAAACCATCTCCTCTTTACTAATAACAAGTTCGTCACTACAAATATAATCAATAAGTTCATCTTTGTCAAGCTCAAGAAACTCCTCATGCTGGGACACATCCTCAAAAGTCTGTAATGCAAAAGTCTTGCACTTTGTGAAGAGTGTTTTGAGTGAATGGGTGTCAGCAAAGCGCTGAATTCCTAAGCAATTACAAGGATCAAGTTGCTCCTCCAAGAACTTGGCACATGCATCACGGAGAACACTGATCTGAAAGAGGCTTGATGTTTCAAAGATATATTGTACATTCTCTGTAGTGATCTTCACCTTTCCAGTATACACATACTGCAGAAAGCATTCCATAGCTTCAGCTAAGATACCATTGATTTCAACCAACATTTCTCGGCTTTCCCTGTGGTCATTACAAAACATAGCTCTGAAGTAGCTACTACAGGCTGATAGAACAGCTCTATGGCAAGGAAATTCTTTCCCTTCCACACAAATGATAACATCTGTGAATAATCGGTTATCTCGGAATTCATTAAATATCTGGAGTATGTTTTCAGCATGGGATGATCCTGAAGAGAAGTCAAAAAATTCATGGCCTGTCAGAGATTTAGGGTCCATTTCAAAGACTTTACGCTTAGTTGCTGGGGAATCACGCACCCCGAGATCCTCTCTGTTTAGTCTTCGTCCTAATATTAGGACCATCGTTACATCAGTTGACTATATAACTGCTGAGAAATGACTGTTAGGGCTCTTCTTTACGTGGCTAAAAGTGAAAAAAGAAAAAAAGTGAAAACATTTTAATAAGTAAAAAATTCAGTATTCAAATTATATAATTTCATTTTGATGTAACACTGCAACAAAATCATGTAATGTATTTCATGTAGGGTATTGAGCACTACTTCGTTTTAATAAACATTGATAAATAAAAATTGCATTTGCACAATTAGAACTTTAGGAGTAATTTCAAAAGTATTCCTTTAGCCCCCCAGGTGAAAGGATACCGTGTACTTGGGAATTACTAATAACCTTCTGTCTTCCCTTTTACACAGCTGGGTTTTATCCACTGACTATAAAGGTAAGTCAGAATACTGTAAGACACAGAATTTGACTATATTTCAGAATCCTAAAATAAGTGTATATCATATTAATATACTAGTGTTGCTAGACAGGAATTCAATTATATTTATTAATGGTCTTTAAAAATATACATACTGTTTGACTAGCAAGTCCTTTTCCAGCATTCCTAAGGAAATAACAGGATATGTAGAAAGATTTATCTACAGAGATGCCCAATGCTATATTTTAAAAAATATATTTTATTGATTTCAGAGAGGAAGGGAGAGGGAGAAGGAGAGAGAGAAAGAAACATCAATGATGAGAGATAATTATTGATCGGCTGCCTCCTACACTCCCCCACTGGGGATTGAGCCCACAACCTGGGCATGTGCCCTTGACCGGAATCGAACCCGGGACCTGTCAGTCCCCAGGCTGATGCTCTATCCACTGAGCAAAACCAGCTAGGGTCCAATGCTGTTTTAATAAAAAATACTTAAAACAACCTAAATGACCTACAATAGGGGATTAGTTAAACCAAAGTACATTTTAAGGATGGAACAGTCTATGCAGCCTTTAAAAATTATGTATACTAGCCCAGCTGGTGTGGATCAGTGGTTGAGCATCAACCTATGAACCAGGAGGTCACAATTCGATTCCAGGTAGGGCACATGCTGGGTTTTGGGCTCAATCCCCAGTAGGAGGCGTGCAGGAGGCAGATGATCAATGATTCTGATAACTGATGTTTCTCTCTCTCGTTTACTCTTCTTTTGTCTCTGAAATCAATAAAAATATATTTTAAAATTTATGTAGACTATTTAATGACATGGGGAAGAATTAACTAGGTAGTAAGTGAAAAGCAGATCATAAAACATATGCTAAGGAAATAGAAAAATTTATGAATCAGTGCATCAAGAGATAGAAAAAAGGAGGCAAATACGCCAAATGTGAAGTGATTTGTTTTGTTTTTCTCTATTTCCCCCTAAATGTCCACTATAAATAGGAAATAATTTGTTTTTAAACCTCCCTCAGAAGTGACTATGAATAGGTAACTAATGAATTGAGGCACTGGGCTATAGCTATCAATTCTCTTAAATTTTAATTTTTAAGGTGGTTCTTCTCCTACTGGCTTTTCACATCTTAAGTTGATACATGACCCAAAATGTATTTGTCATCGGCTTAAGAGCATTCGGGGTAGCTCTCATCTATCCCCATGCCCTCAGAATTTCATACACAATCACTTCTAAAGGTCCCAGCTTCTTCCCGAAATATTTCAACAGTCAGATATCTAGGCCAAATGATGGTAGCATGAAGAAGGCTTAACATTATGGAAAATAGTATCGAAGTTCCTAAAAAAAATTAAATATAGAACTATCACATAATCCAGCAATTCCACTTCTGGGTATTTTTCTGAAGAAATCCAAAATACTAATTTGAAAAGACATATGCATCCCTGTGATGACTGCAGCATTATAGAATCTCCCTTTTGGATAAATGGGACAAGTTTCTCTTACATAAATGAAAAGATACTCTGTTCTGTAGTCAACAATCTTACTGTGTTTGTTATCTAGTATCTGACTGTATTAACTTTGGGGTAGCATATTGAGTGAGTTAAGTATCAATATAAGGCTGATTAAAACTTGTGTGCTCTTCCTCCTGGGAGCACACGTTTGGGCCTTTCCCTTGCCCTTCCTCTCACAGGCATGTATCTCCTAAACTCTAAGGCAGTGGTTCTCAACCTTCCTAATGCCGCGACCCTTTAGTACAGTTCCTCATGTTGTGGTGACCCCCAATTTCACTGTTACAAATTGAACAAAATTAAAGCATAGTGATTACTCACCAAAACAGTATGTAATTATATATGTGTTTTCCGATGGTCTTAGGCGACCCCTGTGAAAGGGTCGTTCGACCCCCAAAGGGGTCGTGACCCACAGGTTGAGAACCGCTGCTCTAAGGGATCCCACTGAGACTTGCTACCAGGGGAACAATGGAGCAGCGGGCAGCTTGTCCCGGGTTAACCCCCTGAACCTGTCTCCAAGGTCCCCTTTTTCTGACTGCAGTGAGCTGACAGCAGCCAGCCTGGCTCACTTCTTTCTCTGTGGCTTTTACTTCTCAGTGAGCCAAAGCAACCCCGCCTAGGCTCACTTCTTTCCCATAACATCACTAAATGACTCTGCCTGGGCTCTCCTGTTGCTGCTTCTGCCCTAAGCCCCTCCTTGTTTCAATGTCCGCAGCTGTAATAAACTACTCTCAAAACAAAACTTTAAGCACACCCACAAAACCTCAAAAACTTTATAGGAGTTAAGGGTCTGTCTTTTTTTTTTTTTTTTTTAAATATATTTTATTGAATTTTTACAGAGAGGAAGGGAGAGGGATAGAGAGTTAGAAACATCAATGTGAGAGAAACATCGATCAGCTGCCTCCTGCACACTCCCTACTGGGGGCATGCCCGCAACCAAGGTACATGCCCTTGACCGGAATCGAACCTGGGACCCTTGAGTCCGCAGGCCGACGCTCTATCCACTGAGCCAAACCAGTTAGGGCAAGGGTCTGTCTTTTAATGATATTTTCTGCCCCTTATTCTCATAGCTGGTTCCTTAATTACTGACAAGAGCTCTTTCATGTCTTTTACCCAATGTAAAACTGAGAATCCTGGATTAGAACAACTATAAAAATCACCTGCTATTATAAAGTATTCACTAGCAACAAGATACTGTCTACTGCTTGCTTTGTAAGTGGCTATCACTTAGACCTGGGCTGTTTCCTCCCGAGCAGCTTTGGCTTGGCTTTTCGGACATCCTCACTTTCTCTGGACTTTCTAGGAACTCTCCCATTAACCAGTCTCCACAAAGCATAAAACATAAACGCTTCCTAGATGACAGGGTGGGTAAATGATTTGCACAGAAGGATCTTAGAAATATGAGATGCATTTCAAAGTTTATCTTCTGGGCTTCTATATGTTAATTTATTAGCCGCTGTTTTCCCATTTTACACAAATCAAGTATTTTATTTTAACTAGTAACGGAAAAAGCAAGAAATCAATTTGGCATCTCTGGACAAAACAAGAGGAAAATGTTTGCTCCAAGGAAATTTAATTAGAAAATTATATCTAGATAAGTTAGTGGATGCAAGGGTGATCCGATGGTCGTGTCAATGACTGCCTGCCCATATCACATGATTTGTCTAGAAGAGCTACTAACTTTTTTCTCCCTCATTTCTTCAGGGGCTTTATTTCTGGAGCTACACTGTCACTTGAAAGGAAGACTTTTCTTAACAGAATATTGTTTTTAATTGAATTGATTTTTAGAGATGAAGGGAGAGGCAGAGAGAAACATCTATTTGAGAGTGGAACATCGATTGGCTGCCTCCTGCATGCCCCACACCAGGGCTCCAGCCCACAGCCCAGTCATGTGCCCTGAATGAGAATCGAACTGGCAACCTTTCAGTGCACTGGATGACGCCCAACCAATTGAGCCACACTGGTCAGGGCCAGAAGATTCTTCTTGTTAAGGATACTGTAGGGTTTATTTCCAACTGCAGAACTCATAAATGTTGTAGACCTAGTTTCTGATTGTTAAGTAAATTTAAAATTAGATGTATTTATGTCCCAGAAAAATGAGTGGAGATAACTTATCTTAGTGTCTCTAAGACTGGGGAAAAATGTTGACGGGGGACTGAGAGTTTCAGGAAGGGGAGGAAAGGACTGGGTAAACACCGTATTTAGTAATGGAAACAACCGTGAGATTGCCTTCATGATCTTGAGGACAGAACTGCTCCTTGTGACCCTTACTGACCTAAGTGACTCCTGGTTAAAGAAAGTAAAGTGGTTTAAATCTTCAAATAACAATGTTTAAATAGTTTATAAATATTATAAATACCTTTTTAGCATTTGCTTGATCAAAGCCTCAGTCAAAATATTTGTGTTGTTTCAATTTCCACACCTAAAATAAATGGAGAACAGCAGCAACATATAAATCAGATACGAATCACTTATACTGGTCGTTGGCAGGATTTACAATTATGTTAAAAAATTTTTTTAGTTGATTTTAGTTTCCAACTGTAAGTTTACTTTTGTATAGAAAATCATTACTGAATAACAATTCCTGAAAGCAAATTAATAATTTTATGTTATTTTACATACAAACTAGTTTTGTTATTTACCAACGTCTTTACTTGACAATTTTATCCTGCAGTAAGGTTTCTTGAGTGAAAGATGAGTAAACACTGGCATCAACAGCAAGCTAATGGTGACAGTGAGATGAGAAAAATAGATATCATGTGATAACTGATATTTGAAGAATGTCTGGTAATAGATATCACATCTGAGTTTAGAGCCATTAAATAATTCTGAATTGGTCTATCAATATTACCAAAAGTAAACAATTTAGTCATTATATATTATATAACCATGGAATACATTTCAGAAAAATCTCAAGTGTTCTAGGTAATTCAGGAAAAAATTCATTTAAAAATCCACAGTAATTAGATTGTCAATATAGAATCTCCAAGTTTATAAAATAATTTTTGATCTTTTAATATAAATGTATTATTTCTTCTGCTTTGTTGAGGCTTATATAGATGTAGTACCTATTGAAACTAACTAATTTAGCATAACTCCTTTTTGGGGGTGGGGGGAGGACAGAAGGGGAGTAGAGGAATGCTTAAGAGAAAATACTAGCAACTTGAACTGTGCACAGAATAGCAATTGAACACTAATGGACCTGGTTTCTGGCCCATATATCTATAGACCAAGTTATGGACTATTGATTTTTTTCCTGCAGAAATACATGAACACACTTCTCTGTACCCCGATTATGCGATGATTGTGAGGTGAATGTTATCTTGCATGTTTCTTTACTTGTAGAACGCAGTCTAACTTGTGTGTACCTTTGGTAAAGAATATCTCAAGTTGGTCAAATCAGGGGATTGTTAACCCTAGCTAAATGCTTCTTCCCAATGGCAATAAGAGATTCTGAGCCAACACAGGTATTCAGCTCAATTCAAGAAACATTTATAAAGAGCCTATCCTTCGTCTGGCACTGGGGTCGCAAATATTGGATTCAGATCCAATTTTAGACTTTGGGATTGGCTAATGTAAGAACCAAACAAGAACTCCAAGACTGAAATTAAAACAGATTCATTTTCTCAGTGTTTCTCTAGCAGAAAACACAGGTGCAGATTGGAATAGATTCTCTGATGACTGATCTGATCTAGAATTATACCTTAAGGCAGCGATTTTCAACCGGTGTGCTGCAAGAATTTTTAAAACATGCAATACCTGACTATTTAGTCAGGGGCACTGACCTCCTTTCCCTTAGATTGCCAAATAAGAAAAATGACAACAGCCAATATACAACAAGAGCCGTCCAGTATGAATGAATAAAAAATTATACCTTTTTTTTTTGTCAGATTGGCAAAAAAATAATGTATTTTTGGTGTGCTGCAGAATTTTAGTAATTAGATGAAAAAAGATAGAAAATTGCTCCCTTAAGAAGTAGAAGGGCAAGACAACTCATCTGGGCATTTTCTGCAGGGTTTTTAGCTAATACTTACGGGACAGAGGGGGTCAGCATACAAAGTCCAAAGAAGATGTATACTATCAGAATTAATCTAGAGTGTAGCTGTGCTGCAACCAAGCTTATTTTTCCTTTAGAATGCAGGAATTCTATACAAAGAAAGAAGTTACAATTAGCCTTAAAGATAATACAGATTAATGAGGGGCTTATAAAGATTTATAAATACCAGAAAAAGGGAGTCCAACAACATTTTTATTAACACAGTCATTATAACATGCAGGAAAGAATTGCCATATGCTATGCTCTACATGACTTCATTTTCTCAAATTTAACCTTGAGTGAAAAAATAGCAGAGACAACAGAAGACCAACCAAAAAGAGGTTTATCTTTAAAGATACATAGTAAGCCAAAAGAAGGAAGAAAACAACTGCAACATAAAAAATCCATTATTTTAAAATAACTAGAAAATTATACTTAACATGATACTGTGTAAAACTAAGCAATTTTTATAAATTTCTGATATTTTCACAAAAGTTAGCTAATTCATTTGAATGATTATATTTAAATTTATGCTCTTAAATTTTCAATTTAAAGGTTTACGTTTGGAGCAGTGATTCCTGAACCAAGTTTTATAAATCGAATAAAGTCCTGTCTGCAAGCTGCTGTTTTCAACATTTCTAATTTCTTAATGGAACCACCAAGAACATATTTACCCACTTAAGATATCAGAAATAAACTAAAACCTTACATTTCTTTGCTTAGAATTATAGCAACTAGTGATTACCCTTTGTTTACTAGAACCTCAACTGGTCAATACATTATGACTTTGATTAATGAAAGAGAAATAAGAAGTATATGAGATGAAAAATTTGGGAGTGCTTAAACAATGTCAGACTAAACCGTATGATTCTATAAAAAAGAATACCATCTTTTCCCAAATTACAGAATCCAAAAATTGAATTTCTCCACTCAATGTTTCTCTTCCTTGTCTTAAAAATTTTGGCTATTAATATTCCTCAAAGGAAGAAAAACAAATCATTAATCATCAGACATCATACTTGGTATTACGCTGTCCTATTGAGTCTACTCATGCTTCTCACTAGACTTGACATGTAAACTTAACTTCATTGGCTTTATCTTGCTAACATGTTTCTTTTAGGTATTTAACGCATTGTTTTATTTTAAAATTGAAAGACCTATAGATATATAATATAGTTATGGTTTCTGTTAGAATTATGTTTCCTATTAGAATTATGCTTTCTGTTCTTATTAGAATTACTGAAGTCTGTAAGAACACTATCGATGCTCTGCCACTTGAACAAGTTTGAGATCCAGTATTTTAAATGACTTCTCTATGTATAAAAGCTTTTATAAGTCAAGTGATTTTTATTTACCTTAGGTGACACAAATTACTTACAAAAATAACTTTCAGAAACGACTGAATAGGTAAAGCCTAATTTAAACACTAATTTAGTAAACTTTAAGATGTGCCCAAATCTGAAAAACTGTAGCCCTTATGTGAGTTTAAGCAGAGTGACAAACTGGTCAATTAAAAAAGTTAGTTTAGCTATTGTTTTTAATAGAATAGGATCTTAAAAAGTATATACAAAAATAACTACAGTCACTTATTTAAGAATTAGCAAAAAGCATTAAGGATTTAGCAACTTGGACAAAAGCTAAGAAAGTTTGAATGAAAGCTGACAGCTCTAACTCGGAATACTATTTCTTCTTCCTGTTTAGAGACTAAGTCACAGGCTTTGTCTGGATAAGCAGCCTTTTGAATGGTGGTTCTATTTTTTAAAAAGATTTGCATTTTGTATTTATTTAGATGGGTTGAAAGCCCAGAATGCGCATGTAGGATCAGTTTGGGATCACAGAAGCTGCTCCTTATGGTGGTCATCTCCACTTCTATCTAAAAAATGTATTAAAATGCACAACCAATGAAAATTGTTCATATTTAAGTCTTGCTTTACGCAGATGGCTCAATCAACCTCCTACAGAAATGCATAAGTTTTGGGTCAATTCCTATGGATTTATAGGAAAAGAAAAACCTGATAAAACCCAAGCACTATTTCCAGGATCTCCCCATGAGATCAGGAAAACTGTATCTTCAACACACTATGGCTAAAATGAACGTTTTGGTATATTTTATTACAGTCACAGTAACTTACAATTTCAAAACAAGACATTTGCTATCCTGGCTGGTGTGGCTACGAGGTTAAAGCGACGACCCTCACGCCGAAGGGTCAAAGGGTGGGTCGCAGATTGGATTCCGGTCAAGCGAATACCTGGGTTGCAGGTTCATCCGGGCCCCACCCGAGCGCATGGGGGAGGCAACCAATTATTGTGTCTCACATTGATGCTCCTCTCTCTCTCTCTTCCACTCTCACTCTCTGCTCCTACTTCTCCCTCCCTCCCACTTTCTCTAAAAAACAATGTAAAAAATATACTGGGGTGAGGATTAACAAACACACATTTGCAATTCGCTATCACAAATTCTGAATTACCATGGGGATTAATACCTAGAAAAGTGAGCTATAACCTCCCACCCCCCTAAAACACACACACACACACACACACACACACACACACACACACAAAAATGAATTCAAACGGAGGTTTTAGGAGGATATCCTCAAAGGATAGCTAATATTTTAGAATTATAATTTTACACCTTGGTCGACAGCAGACAGAGTTTAAATCTATTTTACGTACCTAATAAAAATCAACCTCAGCTGGTGGACCTAAACAGTCTGCAGCTGCAAATGCTGAGACGTGATTTTTAAAAAGCTGCTAGAGAGTGCGAGAAATTAGTCATTAAAATCCACCAAACTAGTGTACAGTCCCTGCCTGGGGGGTGTGGGTGGCGGGGTGTGTGTGTGACCGAGGCACCCTAAAATGCGGCGTTAGGGTCCTTCCTTAGCTATTTAACACGTTAAGCGCCATGTCAGCCACCGGTGCGGCCAGCATATCGGTGAGACCGGATATCGCCGGCTAAACGGAAAGGGAGACAAAACAGGCTTGGCGCTGAAGGTGTTAAACCTTGTTTACAAACCATCCAGAACAAACGCGCAAGAGGACTTCCTGCTCCACATAGGGGCAGATAAGACACCACTTAAACGGGCCTAATTCTGCGGCCCTGGAGGGCGGCCCACGGCTGCGGTTCCCTGAGGGCACAGAACCGGCCTCAGGTTCTAGCAGAGGCTGCGGGGCTCACCCGAGGGCGACCCGGAGGGTCCCTCCGCGCGGGAGCGCGTGTCGCCGGCTCCGCGCGGGCCGAGGAGCGCCAAGCGCGCCCCCGCGCGTCCTCCAGATCACCTTCGAGGGGGCGGGGAAGAGCTGCCGGGGCAGGACCCCCTAGCGACCAGCCGGCCGCCAATCAACACTCGGAACTCGCGCCCCGGTTCCCGCCCCGCCAGCCGCCGCCAGCGCCCAATCCCGGCCGCGGTAACAGCCGGCGTACAGAATGTCCGGGACCTGGGGGGGCGGGGACGTTAGGAACTAAATTAAGAAACCAAGCCTTGGAGTGGTAGGAAGGTGGGGAGGTTAGGCGGGGATTCGGCCGGCGGAACGCCCGCAGCCCCTCCCGCCACGACTCCCCGGGGACGGTCGCTCCAGGGCCGGGTTCTCGGCCCGGGCCCCGCCGCGATCCGCGGTAAACAAAGGCTCGCAGGGGGTTGGGGCGGGGGTAGCGGTCAGGTGACAGGACCGCGCACATTTCGCAAACGCTTTAGTGGGGCTACTCTGGCCCGTAGCCTGGGAACCCACCCTGACCCCGTCCGTCCTCCCCGACAGACGGCGATCGCCCCCCCACACCACCACCACCAAACGGGAAGGCTTGATTTGAGGCCTTCGCATTCAGTGCTTCCTTCGATTATGAAAGAGCAGCGGGGGCCCCGTTCGAAGCTGGTCGGCAACAGCAGGACCCGTCTCCCCAGCCCCGTTCGCCAGCTGCTCCCGCCCCCGAGGCGACGGGGTGGCCGACACCTGCTAACCCAGCCCGGGCGGCCCTGTCTCTCCCAACCCGGCCCCTGTGGGGCGCGTCAGCATCGCCGCGGTTCCGGGGCGGCAGTGCCAGGAGGCTGGGGTGTCCCCCTTGCAGGACTGTCGTTGCCGAGCGGGGCTAAAGACCCCCCAGGAACGCCCTGCAGACCCCTCGCCCCAGACAGAGGCCCAGCAGCCCCAAGCGCAATCTCTCCTCGGCGCCCCCGCGTCTGGCCCCGAGAGGCCGGACGCCGCCGGCCTCCCTCCTGCAGACACCTCCGTGGTCGTGACCTCGGTCGCCCCTCCGCCCCCGGCGCTGGCCGGTTCCTCGCCTTTCGGCCGGTCCCGGAGCTGTCATCCCCGGGTACCTCTCGGCGAAGGCTGGAGGCGGCCAGCAGCAGTGGCGAGCAGCGGCTGCCCGCGGTCCGTTAGCGGCTGGCGGCGCAGCGCTCCTTCCAGCCCCGGAGTCTCCTGCAGCCACCAGTCACTGCTGTAGCTCACAACAAAGGAAACATGTGACCGTCCGGGCCAAAACACTGAGCGTCATAGACCCTGGGCCAATCCGAGTGGGCTCCCCACTCGCGGGGCACCCTGGGAGATGTAGTTCCTATTGCGGGGGCGACCACTATGCGAGCGTGACAAGACCCAGTCCAGGGGCTGGTGATTTGGGAATACTTTGTTTTAGTTAGAAACACTTTGTTTTAGTTAGAAACAGGTTAAGGAAATACATCGTTTTAGGATTCTAATGAGAACACTGAGTGGTATGTTTATTGCCACGTCCAAGGCAAAAGCACATATCCATGAAGTTGCATAATCTTAGAGATCTTTTAAATTTGACCCCTTGGTTCCCAATTGTGAAATATGAGGGCCTGAGGTGTGAAAGGGACAAGAACGCTGGTCGCTAGACGGCGCAGGGAAACCGTCTTTCTGTGTAAATCTGTTACTGTCAGCTGCATTAAGTCCCGAGTTACCTTTTTATTTTAGACGTACTTGCAAATCAAAGTTGTTGCAAATTCCTATTTTCCAAGGCAGATAGATTCACCAAAGGACATTATTTGACATTTTTGTTTCTGCAGATATTTTTTTAAAGATGGGTATACTCTCAAACATTTAACTAGTTTTTGGTTTTTGATGTCAGAATTATAACTTCTCTTTCTCCTATTCGTTATGAATACAGTCATTCCTTTATTGAATAAAGGATTGTGTTGCAATGACCAGAGGTGAATCCTATATAATAAAAGGCTAATATGCAACTCAACCAAATAATGGAACCACTGGTCGCTATGATGCACTGTGACCACCAGGGGGCAGACGCTCAATGCAGGAGTGCACTCCCACAGGGGGAGCAACGCTCCGCCAGAAGCCGGGCTCATGGCTGGCCAGCGCAGTAGCGCTAAGGATGTCTGATTGCTGTGGGGAGCGGGCCTAAGCAGGCAGTTGGACATCCCCCAAGTGCTCCCAGACTGTGAGAAGGACTGAGTGCACAAATTTTGTGCACTGAACCTCTAGCACAGCAGTTCTCAACCTATGGGTCGCGACTCCTTTGGGGGTCAAACGACCCTTTCTCAGGGGTCACCTAAGACCATCGGAAAACACATATATAATTACATATTGTTTTTGTGATTAATCACTATGCTTTAATTATGTTCAGTTTGTAACAATGAAAATACATCCTGCATATCAGATATTTACATTACGATTCATAACGGTAGCAAAATTACAGTTATGAAGTAGCAACGAAAATAATTTTTTAAAAATATATTTTATTGATTTTTTTTACAGAGAGGAAGGGAGAGGGACAGAGAGTTAGAAACATCGATGAGAGAGAAACATCGATCAGCTGCCTCCTGCACACCTCCTACTGGGGATGTGCCTGCAACCAAGGTATATGCCCTTGACCAGAATCGAACCTGGGACTCTTGAGTTCGCAGGCCGACGCTCTATCCACTGAGCCAAACCAGTTAGGGCCGAAAATAATTTTATGGTTGGGGTCACCACAACATGAGGAACTGTATTAAAGGGTCGCGGCATTAGGAAGGTTGAGAACCACTGCTTTAGTATAATATAGAAGGCTAGGCTTCTTAAAAATATTTTTTAGGCTTCTTTTCCATCTCTTATTAAAAATGAAAATGCCTGCGATTTATTGAGTTGCTACAAAACTCCAGACTCAGTGGTGGGCACTTTATATATATCCTTTAATCCTCATAATAACTCAGTAAGATAGGTGGTATTATCCCATTTTACAGGTGAAGAAACTAAACTGCAGAGAGGATAAAGTGTCGGCCCAGGTCATTCAGTTATTAAATGGTGAAGCTGGAATTCACACATACATTTAAAAAATGTATTCATATTAATGTAGGTACTCAATTTTATTTCTAAATAGTTTATCAACAAAGTTAAATATGTATTACAAGGTCAGTTGTACAGTAGCAGCCCCATCTCCCACCCTTCCCCTTCCTGATTCTCCAAAAACAACCATTTTCAACTATTTGAACTATTTTGGTACTTGATCTCTATTTCCATAGACCATATTACCATTTTCTATTAAAGCAGTTGCCATCCATGTCCCCTGTCCTTCCAATATTATAATTTCTGATTAAATAATTATTTAATGTTTATGTTATTAAGACTATTATTTGTGGCTGAGTCAAAACTTTTTTTCTTGTATGGAGTTTTGTTTTTCCAGGAATAGGCATGCAGCTAAGCACTGGAGGGTCCTCACTGCCTTGATAAAGTCTCAACTCCCTGGCAGTGCACACAGTCCTTCCTGAGGCACCTTAGGGTCTATCTCTGTAGCCTAAACACCATAAACTACCCACAGGTGCCCAAAGGACTCCCTCTCTCTGTGTCCAGGCCATTCTCATTCATATCCTGCTCCCCAATTCTCCTACGCTCTCTCCTTCCTTTCACCCCATTCACTAGACTAGCTCCTGCTCTTCCTTCCAGGAGTCAGCTTGTGGGTCTCTCTTGGGACACCCTCTTTTCCTCCCCATTTTCCTCTGGGCTAGGTATCTCTCTGTCTTTCCACAGCAATCCATCTTTATCTCCTTCCCAGCAGTCTTGACACGAATTGCCCATGTTTATTTACACGCCTTTACCAAAGGAGTACCCCCTCAGGTCAGGGATCATGTCTTATTCATTTTATATCACCTAGTAGGTGTTCAGTGTGTATCTATTAATGGATGGAATGGTTTCTACTTCTTGAGTTTAAAGGCACCGGAAATTAAAAAAAAAAAAAAATAAGTGCCACCCACCAAGACCCTGGCATCCACTTGGCCTCAGCTGTATGATGTCCTCCTCAGAATGCCTCCTCTCTTGGGGCAGATAGGTACAGGATAGTCATCTGAGAGAGGAAAGGAGGGAGGGGACCACGGGACAGGCAGCCTTGGGGACAGGCAGCCCTGGAGACAGGCAGAGGACTACTGGTGGATATGAGAGCTCCTCAGGCGCCAGAGTTTGAGTGGTTTCAGTATTGGTGAAGGGCCTTGGAAGTTATGTGTACTCCACGTCAGTGAGCATGGCCAGGTAGCAGCCTTTTTTTTTTCTTTCTTCCAGCTGGGGCTGGAATATAAGCAGAGCTGTCGAGTCCAGGGGGAATCTTCTGAAACGTGCGAAATTATTCTGTAATGGAATATGATTTATTGTATGTGGTGTTTACAATCCAGGTTGGCCTGGTCATTTGAATGAGGCAGAAACTTGGAGAGGGGAGAACCTTTCCTTTCAGGGATGTACTATATTGTTCCAAATTCTGTCTTCTTTCAAATAGCACATGGCAGCCCTTGTTTTGCTCTCCAGAGCATCCATGACAGTCTCTAAGGTTTAAGGTTGCCAAGCATCCATAGTTCTTCCAGACATTCTTTTTTTTTTTTAAAATATATTTTTTATTGATTTTTTTACAGAGAGTTAGAAACATTGATGAGAGAGAAACATCGATCAGCTGCCTCCTGCACACTCCCTACTGGGGATGTGCCTGCAACCAAGGTACATGCCCTTGGCCAGAATCGAGCCTGGGACCCTTCAGTCCGCAGGCCGATGCTCTATCCACTGAGCCAAACTGGTCAGGGCCAGCCATTCTTTTCATTTTTCTCTCCAGCATGCCCTTCTTCCCCATGCAGACAATATCACTCTGTAAACATACCAGCCTCCCTGCCTCTGCTCTTGGCCTCCTGTAATTGAAGTTTCCTTGTCCCCAGTTGTAGTAGAAATGTTGGTCCTCTTTTAAAGCTCATCTCTGGTGCCACTCATTCTGTGGGGCTTTCTCTGAGTTTCTCCCCCACCAACCATGAGGCTGTGCACACCTCCAGTGTTTTTACTTTATTTATTTATTATTGTTTAAAGTATTACATATGTCTCCTTTTCCCCACATTGCCCCCCCCCGCCACTCCCGCCCCCCACACCTCCAGTGTTTTTAGACTGAGACTTGGCATTATGTTTATTCCCAGTCCCTGAATGCAGCTGGGTTCTTTGGCAGGTATGGGCCCAGCACTTTGAGCTTCTCCCCGGCAATAAATCCCAGTTGCAAAACACTGATGAATGGAGATTTTACTGACGGTTCCACAAAGGGAGATTTACATGGCATTTCACACCACAAAACTCTATAACAAGTCTCTTTAAACATCTGTTCCCTCCCCTCAGCTCCTTCCTCAGCCACTCCTCTTTTCTCACTAGACACCCTCTCTCTGGGCCTCTCCCTAGTTCCAGCTTGGCTTTTCTCCCTTTCTATGATCTCTGCCATCTTTCTCCTAGACAACCGCCCCCCCCCCGCCCCCAACCCCATCTCTTTTTCAGTCATTTGCATTTTTACACTCATCACCTTTCAAAAAAGAGAGTTCCAGTCTTCAGAAAACAGAAGCTCATAAATAACAAATCATCCCCACCCCCTCACCATATTCCTCCACAGACATATTTCACATCGCAGCAGGTCTGTTACACAACACCCCTCAGAGTGTTGAGTGAAGGGGAGAATAAACACAGTACATTATTTGCTCATGGCACCTGAGCCTCTCCAGTCGTGAGGCCCACCCCTTCCCTCCCCTCGTCTCCCATGAGGTAAGAGTGACTCAGCCCTGAAGCCCTGTGGATGCAGAGGTCTGACGCTCCCTGGCTTTGTAGTTAGTTGCCAGGAAAGGTTTGAGTTGCCCCTCGGGGGTGCCACTCCCACCCTGCCCAGATAGTCGGTCATGGCCTCCACTAGACCAGCTGGAACTTGGGGTCAAACATAGTACCGTTAGGATTCAACAAGGAAAGAGATAGCCGGGAAATTTTCCATTTTGAGGTCTGGGGAAAGAGGTAAGTCTTCTGCCACGTGGAGGGCAAGCCCCCTCTCGCCTCCCTGAGCTTCCCCCTCAGGAGTGCGGTCTGCCACGAGGTGTTTTTCCTCACGACAGAAACAAAGGGAGCTTCCTATCTGGGGGTGGAGTGTGGCGGCAATCCTGGCTTTGCTCTTGAAACTGTCCTTCACAGATTGACGTTCACGAGATGCCAGGAGTGGGTGCCTCAGTGGCCTCCAAATCCTGTTTGTGCCCATATTTGCCCTGCTCATTGCAGAGAAGGGTGACTGGTCATCACCGTGAACCCTGGGCTCTGACTGCTGGGAGCTGAGGCATACTTGCATCCTCCCCGTACTGTGATGCCAGACCCGGCTCTTTTCTTTATTCTTCTGCCCCAAGGACATCTGATTTTACCTTCCTCTCTTCTTAATTTCTTCCCCAGTAGTGAGAATTCTGGTCTCAGAAGAAAACTGATATTTTGTCATAAAGTACTCCTGCCCTGACTGCTCTAGGTAAGCCTGATTCCCCAAGGGATACCTCAACACCTTTTAACATGACTTGTTGCAAACCCCTCTCAGGTATGAGCACATGTGGAAAGTTTCTTCTCCTGCTCTGGTCACAAGCTTAGGCCAGTTTTAAAAATGACTATATTCCTACTCTTAGCGCTGCTCACTAGTCCACCCCACAGATGGCTGTGGCTGTGAGTCTATATAAAATTCCTGCTTCTGGTTCTAGCAGACTTTGACTTTATCTTTTCTTTTCTTTCTTTCTTTCTTTCTTTCTTTCTTTCTTTCTTTCTTTCTTTCTTTCTTTCTTTCTTTCTTTCTTCCTTCCTTCCTTCCTCCCTCCCTCCCTCCCTCCCTCCCTCCCTCCCTCCCTCCTCTCTCTCTCTCTCTCTCTCTCTCTCTCTCTCTCTCTCTTTCTTTCTTTCTTTCTTTCTTTCTTTCTTTCTTTCTTTCTTTCTTTCTCGCTCTCTCACCCTTGCCCAAGGATATATTTTCTGATTGATTATCAGAGATAGAGAAAGTGAAAAAGACAGGGAAAGACAGGGAGAAACATCACATCAATGCGAGAGAAACACATCGATTGATTGCCTCCTGCATGCACCCTGACCAGGGCCTGGGCTGGGGAAGACCCTGCAACTGAGGTACATGCCCTTGACAGGAATTTAACCTGGGACCCTTCTGTCCGAAGGCTGACGCTCTATCCACTGAGCCAAACCGGCTAGGGCTATCTCCAATTTCTTGCCACTCGTAACATTTAAGAGGCAGGTACTCATTCCAACTTGATCTTCTTATGGTGCACCTGGCACTACTCTCCTTCCAAGGACCTGCAGCTTCTCAGAGTGTGTCTTCCCCCTGTGGTTCCCTTTGGCTTGATGGGCAGTCCTCCCAGGTATCCTTCAGAAGATATGGAAGGGCTGGGCCTGTCCAAGAGCACCTGCTGCAGACCTCTCCTGTTCTTGAATGATCCCATTTAGTTTCTTAAGAAATTGCTTTTTTTGTTTTTTAAATATATTTCTTTATTGGTTTCAGAGAGGAAGGGAGATGGAGAGAGAGATAGAAACATCAATGATGAGAGAGAATCATTGATCGGCTGCCTCCTGCATGCACACCACTGGAGACTGAGCCCGCAACCCAGTCATGTGCCCTTGGCCGGAATCGAACCTGGGACCCTCCAGTCCGCAGGCTGACGCTCTATCCACTGAGCCAAGCCAGCCAGGGCAAGAAATTGGAGAGAGAGAGAGAGAGAGAGAGAGAGAGAGAGAGAGAGAGAGAGAGAGAGAGAGAGAGAAAGAAATTGTTGAGGCTGGCACACCAATCTCCAGACCAAGAATTCTCACTTTAATAAGCTCACTCGATGCTCTTGTTACTGGTCCAAAGTCCATGTGCCTGATAGTTCAAAACGCCAAAACTCAAAATGTTGCAGTTTGGATTAAGGAAGGGTTTATTGATCGAGAAGGTACAAACCAAGAAGATGGGAGAGCTAGTGGTGCCTCACATCCAGCTTAAGAAAGTACAGAATTCAGGCTTCTTTCATGTCAAGGGAAGGGGAAAATGGGAGGGCCAAGAGGTGATTGACAACTGTAGACATCTGGGCACCCAAAGGGGTCTGAGGAAGATTGAGCTTAGTCTGTTGACCCTACTTGATGTGCGTCCGGTCATGGGGTTCCCGCAAATCTTTGGTACACAATACATACTTCCCTTATCTCCTCGAGATACTTTCTGGTAAGGGGCTGTTTTTTAAAACTCAAGACACAAGCAGAATTCCTCTAATGATTAGCATGTTTGTATGCAAGAAGCTGTTTACTTGAAGGCTCTGTGAGCAAAGCAGGCTTGAACGAGATGGAGTCAGAGAGATCAAGCATTAATTCATGAACCAAGAGGTCATGAAATGATTCCTGGTCAGGGCACATGCCTGGGGTTGTGGACTCACTCCCTAATGGAGGTTGTGTAGGAGGCAGACGATTGATGTTTCTCTCTCATCATTGATATTTCGGTCTCTCTGTCCCTCTCCCTTCCTCTCTCTCAAAAATCAATTAAAAAAAAACAAAGAAAAGAAAAGAAAAATTAACCTACATATAGACTTGAAAGACATGGCCTGTATGAGAAGAAGACCTTAAGAAAACAGAGAAAGGAATGCAAGAACAGAATGAAAAATATCAGGGAGTCTCAGAGGCCAATGTTGGGGCTGGCAACAAATGAGCTGGAGATTGGACACAGAAGTAGTTAAAGATTCTTCAGGATTTTCTGTGGGGATTGTGCAGATTTTTCATGAGAGGATTAATAAATGAAAAACTTAAAATGAACAGGAGGGGTAAGGAAGGAAAGAAGAGGTAAACAAAAAAAAAGCATATAACCTCTATTATCTAGATTTGAAATGCAAACCTGAAGAAATGAAGTGATATAGAAACCTAGAAAACAAAGCCAGCCTTTCTGAACACTCACTGGGGTCCTGGCTTCTAACTTCTTTAATCTTTCCCAGTGGGCATTTATAAGATAAAAAGAGAGTGAGAGCAAGAGTGAGATAAAATATTCACACTCAATCGTCACATAGCTAAGCTTAAACCATGGTTCCCTGACTAATACTAATTAGAGATTAGGGTAAGCCTATGTTTTTTCAGCAAGCATTTGACATTTAAAAAACAACAACTCTGCCTCCTGCACGCCCCACACTGGGGATTGAACCTGCAAGCTGGGCATGTGCCCTGACTGTACCCCGACCGGGAATTGAACTGTGACCTCCTGATTCACAGGTCGATGCTCAACCACTGAGCCACGCCAGCTGGGCTACCCTTTTTAAATTCAAAAAAGTGTTTTAGAAAACCCTTGCCTAGTGTGGTTTTTAAAGGGACTCATGCTCACTATTATGCAATCTCCTTTCCTTCCAGCCCCAGATTTCTCTGTCTGGCCTACAAAACAGCAAGGCCCCCCCCAGGTCACCAGCATACAGGGCCAGATACTCTTGACCCTGCTTGTGACAGTATTGCAAACACATGCCTGGCATACTTTGGAAAGCCTGCCTGCTTCTATTACTGGTACATGAACGTTTTGCTCTGGCAGCAAAAATCTACTGTGCAGGCAGGGGCTCAAGGTTGCCTGAAGTTTCAAGACAGGAGTTTGGTTACAAGCCATTCCCATTTTATTAGTAGGTTCATGGAGGAGTCAGTCACAAGACTAAGATACAGAGGCCAGAATTATCGGTCAGGTGTCTCGAATTGCCCAGGAATGAAATTTTTCCTGGAGTGTAAGGTTAGGTTGAATTTGCAGCTCAGAGAGAGGTCAAGTTTAAAGCCCTTCGGGGCACCGAGCTGCTCAGTGCTGCTGGGGACATTTCCCTCTGCTCGATTCATAAGCACCCACGCGTTATTAAAGAACCATTGGGAAGTGGAGGCACTTCAGGTCCAGTTGATGGATCCGACTCTGTTCAGAATCAGAGATTCTATTTGAGACAAAATTTAATGGTAACAACAAAGCTTGGTGGGAAGAGAGAGGCAGTGGCAAGTACAGACAAAGAGAGAAACAGCAAAAATAGAGAGCCTTCAAATTGCCTGAGCTGGTTTCTGGGCTGTTAACTATAACCAGGAGCCACTTAAACTCCTGCTGAAATCACCACCAGAAATAAAATCTGACTCCTCCTCTGGATTGTTACCGTCACTAACAAAATGTTATGGCCATCTGTGTGCTAAGGACAGGGCTGAGAGCTGTTGCGAGGGTGCTGGCCAAGTGGTGGCCAGCAAGGGCAGGGAGCAGGGAGTCAGGGGCGGGGTGGAAGCTGAGGGCTGTCACCAAGAGGCTCAGACAGAATCCGGGGGGAGCTGTGGGCATAAAGAGGTATCAGGTCAGTAAATAATCAGAGGGAAGCTGGGTCCTCTGGTTTACAAAGAAATTCTGAACCAGAGGAGTGAATAAAGCAGAAATGGAAGCTGGGGGCTGGGATAACCAGGAAAGTTCCAAATTTCCCTGTGAGGTCACCGCTCTGCGGCCTTGGATTGCGTTTTTACAATGAAATGAAATTAATTAATCAAGGATGGCTCCGGTTTTAAAATTTTATCTTAAATTTTGTAGACAGCTGCACCTGCGACCTCACTGCCCCGGAGGTCCTTGACAGATGGCAGTCTGTCTGTACAGATGGGATTCATTTGAGCCTCAGGGATTGTTTTTGGATTTTTCCTTTAGGACCCTACCTCCCACCTCCTGGGATAGGGACAGGTGTGGAATTATAGGAAAGGAATAAGCCACCCACAATTGCACTCTCCAGAGGCAATCATTCTGCATCCTCATCTGTGGAATGGGCATAATTATGACAGGATTGCGGTATAAGACAAGGGAGAAGCTGTTTTAACTTTTTGGTATATTCCCTTCTAGCCTTTTTATTAAGCATTTGAAACATGGTTGGGATCACATGGTATATATAATTTTCATCCCATCTTTTTTCCTTAATATATATCAGGACTATTTTCATGGTCACACACATGCTGTGTGTGTGTGTATGTGTATGTGTGTGCGCTCGTTCCTTTAAAACTTGACCCACAAAGCAGACGGAGGGCTGGATTTGGTCTGTGAGCTGGCAGCTGGCTGTCCTCAGGTGCAGAACAAAGGGCAGCCATTGAAAATCATGACGACAGCAATGAAAACAATGGTGCTGTTCTCCTCAGGGATTCAGAGGTGCCTCCGTCACAGCTCTACCAGGAAACTCACTATCTGGGATGTGCAGGGTGCTAGAGGGTAAGTAGTCAGGAGGTGAGATGTCAATAAAATTTCTTTCTGTTTAAATCTGTTTAAAGCCCATTTAATCTGTGGTTTCCTGGATCTACATGTAATCCCCGCCACAGCAGGGTGAATTCCCCGAGAGAGGAAAGCTATAACTTGAACTCATAACTGATTTTCCAGAAAGCCCCAGCAGAGCCAATTTTTGTCCTCTATGGGCCTGTCTCTCACCATCATTTTGGAAAGATGTCTAGCCGAGGCCCTGCTTCTGGAGGCATTTGGGTGCAGGCAGGAGCCAAGGTCTTGACAAAAATAGTTTTTAAAATTCACTTTTGATTATTGCTTATATTCTATCATATGATTGAACCCTAATTTATTTTCATTTTTCAAAATACTGGATATTTAAGTTGCTTTAGAGGGTTGCTGTTAAAATACACTAAAGAACATCTTGGTACATAAGTCTTTCTCTTAAATTTAGGTTACTTTGTATTAGTTGGGGGAGAGACTATTTTAACATTTTGGTATATTGTCTTCTACTCATTTTATTAAGCATTTTATTTTATTTTTTTAAATATATTTTATTGGTTTTTTTACAGAGAGGAAGGGAGAGGGATAGAGAGTTAGAAACATTGATGAAAGAGAAACATTGATCAGCTGCCTCCTGCACACCTCCTAATGGGGATGTGCCCGCAACCAAGGTACATCCCCTTGACCGGAATCAAACTTGGGACCTTTCAGTCCGCAGGCCGACGCTCTAGCCACTGAGCCAAACCAGCTAGGGCTTTATTAAGCATTTTAAACATGATTGAAAATCACACTACATATATAATTTGTATCCAAACTTTTAAAAATATATATATATATATTTTATTGATTTCAGAGAGGAATGGAGAGGGAGAGAGATAGAAGCATCAATGATGAGAGAGAATCATTGATTGGCTGCCTCCTGCACGCCTCCCCCTTTCCCTCCCCACTGGTGATCCAGCCTGCAATCCAGGCATGTGCCCTTGACCAAAATTGACCCCAGGACTCTTCAGTCCACAGGCTGACGCTCTATCCACTGAGCCAAACAAGCCAGGGCCAACCTTTTTTCTTAATAATATATTGTGACTATTCTCATGATTGTAGTTTGTTTATAGATGCGGTTAGATTAGTATCTAAAAGCATACAGGTCTTACTACATATTGATCAAATTACTTTCTAGGTAATTATACCATTTATTTTTGATAAGCCTTAAATCTGAAACACAGACTTTGATTAGGCTTTAAAAAGGTTTTTGTTTTTGTCTTTTAACTGAGAAACCCTGGGCTTGGGTTTGTTGCCTCACTCCCATTTTAGTCCTGAATGGAAGAGCTCGGTCTCTTTGCTTTTTGCCTGTTGGTCATTTCTCTGTGGAGTGGAGTCTGGGAGGAGGGAACATGGGGAGAAACTGGGATTTCTTACTCCACCCTATCCTGTCCATCCAAGAGTCTAGCCCACATTCTGATCTTGTCCTAATCTCTTAATCTTGAAATATTTTTCCTGGAAGCAGTGGGCTGGTGTAGAAAAATCGTTGTGTTTTGGACTCAGAGAGAACTGGGGTCAAATTTTAGTTCTGGTACTTACTAGCTGAGTGAGGTTGGGCAAAATTCCCTAATATATATGAACCTCAGGTTTCATATCTGTGAAATGAGCATGTTAACAGGGATATAGTGCAAATTAGTTAAAGCTTAGTGTATACTATTGTATTTAGCAGGTGGTAGTCCTTCTGTATCCTATTTTACTGTTACGCAGGGACTGATATGTGTGGTGTTGTCATATCAAATGAGCACTGACATCATCATTCTCGTAATTGATGAGTATGACTTCTGGGCGAAGGAAGCCACATTCTCTCTTATTATTTATTTAATCTATTTATTTGTATATATTTTTCCTCAGCCTAGAGCAGAGATTCTCAAACTTTACCACGCATCAGAATCAACCGGAGGATTGTTAAATATTGCTGGGTCCCACACCTAGAATTTCTGATTCTGTAGGTTGGGGAAGGAGCTGTGAACTTGCATCTCTAACAAGTTATCAGTTGCTGCTGCTGCTGGTCTGGAAACACACTTTGAAAACTGTTGGCCAAGAACATTGTACTGCTCTTCCTGTCCTTCTGGTTAATTCCCACTCGTCTTTCAGGCCTCAGCTTTGACTTTATTACCTCTAGAAAGTCTTTCTTACACCTGAAGTACAAATCAGGTATCCATCATCTGTGCTTTCAGATCTCCCTGGACTTGCTTGCACAGTGTTCTGTGATTGTCTTACTACTTGTCTGTACCCCCACTAGATTGTAACGACTTTGGAAAAGTAACTATGTCTGTCATTTTATGGCTATATCTCCAGCACCTAGCCCAGTGCCTGGTATATAGTAGGTGCTCAATAAATGTTTTTTGAATGAATGAGTGAGCCAGACCCTGGATAGCTGGAACCAGAGTCTAGGCACTCATGACGGTGAGGCAGGTAAAGGGAGTAAGTTCTTGTGACCAGTGGCCAGGTAAGTCTAGGAATTCAGTGCCAGGAAGATGACAGAACATTGCAGAAGCTATAGGTACAGGGACAGGACCTCAGGAGCTTGGTCCCCCCCCTCTGGGGTATGGAGAGCAGGGCAGAACCCAGTTTTATAGAAACTGAATAGGGACTTAAGACTCAATTTCTGGTTAGAATGCTTGATCAGAATTCCAAACAGAATTCAAAACAATAATGGTCCCATTCTTGTTTGATACTCCAACATATGGTCTATCTTGGTGACTATTTCATGTACACTTGAAAAGGAGGTAGCTTCTGTTGCTGAGTGGTGCATTCTAAAATATCATTTAGGTTACATTGATCAATAATGTTCAAATATTTGATGTCTTAACTGATTTTGGGGTCTACTTATCCTGTAAATTATTGAGCAAGAAGTATTTATATCTTTAAAATAATTATGGATTTATCTCCTTTTTTTCTCCTTTCAGTTTAATCAGTTTTGCTTAATGTGTTTTGAAGCTACATTATTTAGTGCAGACACATCAAGGATTATTATATTTTTTTGATGAAGTAATTAATCACTTTATTATTGAGAAATGTTTCTTTTTATCTTTTTCTAAAATTCTGAAGTCACTCTATCTGATATTAATATAACCACTCCAGGGGTCTTTAAAGAAATGTTTTCGGCCTGAACCAATATGCTCAATTAATATTTGACAAAGGAGGCAAGAACATACAATGGAGCCAAGATAGTCTCTTCAATAAATGGTGTTGGGAAAATTGGACAGATATATGCAAGAAAATGAAACTAGACCACCAACTTACACCATACACAAAAATAAACTCAAAATGGATAAAGGACTTAAATGTACGACAGGAAACCATAAAAATTCTAGAAGAATCCAAAGGCAACAAAATCTCAGACATATGCCGAAGCAATTTCTTCACTGATACAGCTCCTAGGGCACTTGAAACTAAAGAGAAAATGAACAAATGGGACTACATCAAAATAAAAAGCTTCTGCACAGCAAAAGAAACCATCAACAAAACAACGAGAAAACCCACTGTGTGGGAAAACATATTTGCCAATGTCATATCTGATAAGGGCCTAATCTCCAAAATTTATAGGGAACTCATACAACTTAACAAAAGGAAGATAAACAATCCAATCAAAAAATGGGCAAAGGACCTAAATAGACACCTTTCAAAAGAGGACATTCAGAAAGCCAAGAGACATATGAAAACATGCTCAAAGTCACTAATCATCCGAGAGATGCAAATCAAAACAACAATGAGGTACCATCTCACACCTGTCAGACTGGCTATCATCAACAAATCAACAAACGACAAGTGCTGGAGAGGATGTGGAGAAAAAGGAACACTTGTGCACTGCTGGTGGGAATGCAGACTGGTGCAGCCACTATGGAAGACAGTATGGAGTTTCCTTAAAAACTGAAAATGGAACTCCCATTTGACCCTGTGATCCCACTTCTAGGAATATATTCCAAGAAACCAGAAACACCAATCAGAAAGGATATATGCACCCCTATGTTCATAGCAGCACAATTCACCATAGCTAAGATCTGGAAACAGCCTAAGTGCCCATCAGTAGATGAATGGATTAGAAAACTGTGGTACATCTACACGACGGAATACTATGCTGCTGTAAAAAGGAAGGAACTCTTACCATTTGCAACGGCATGGATGGACCTGGAGAGCATTATGCTAAGTGAAATAAGCCAGTCAATGAAGGAAAAATACCACATGATCTCACTCATTCATGGATAATAGAGACCATTATAAACTTTTGAACAATAATAGATACAGAGGCAGAGCTGCCTCAAACAGATTGTCAAACTGCAGCGGGAAGGCCGGGGAGGGTTGGGGGGCAGGAGGTAGGGGGGTAAGAGATCAACTAAAGGACTTGTATGCATGCATATAAGCATAACCAATGGACATAAGACACTGGGGGATAGGGGAGGCTAGGGGACTGTCTAGGGCGGGGGGATAAAATGGACACATATGTAATACCCTTTGTAATACTTTAAGCAATAAATTAAAAAAAAAAGAAATGTTTTTATTGATATATGGTTCACGTACTATACAATTCACCTATTTAATATGTACAAGTCAATGGTATGTATGTATGTATGTATTTATCTAGTTTGTTTATCTATTTATGTATATTTGAGTGTTCCCTGGCCAAGTGAACCCTGCAGTGGGCAGTGGACTTTGTCTTGATGGGCCCCTGCCTCAGAGGGCTATCTGCCTGGACTCCAACAGTGTGAGGAGGCGCTGGATACCCCCAGAGGTCAGGAGCTGAGCGGGTGGATAACAGTACGATAGGCAAAGAGTACATCCTCTGCCCTGGGGAACCATGCACTACAAAGGTGCCACCCGGGTCTCTGAGGAATCCGCAAATGCTTCCCCTCTAAAGACCTCGCATTTCAACATCAGCCAACCAGGTTAGTCAAGAGAGACCACAAACTACACCAGCCTAAGTTAAAAGACCTTTGCCTCTTTAACCCAGTCCTGGAAGAGCCAGAGATGAGGTGGATGAGGTGGAGAGTGAAATTGCAGACCACACAGACCTTCTTACCCACTGTTGATCCCCAGCTACAGGCCAAGGCTGGGCGGTGGGGAGAAGTATTGAATGGGATGTGAGGTTTATTTTTGGGGTGGACTTTTTAAAAGGTCCCTAAGTGAGACTATTCACATAACCTTGTGAATAGAACCTGAAAAACTTTAAGATCTTCCTGCGTTGTCCAGGTGCTAAAAAAGAGACCCAGCAAGGCACATTAAAGGACAGTGTTAGGAGATAACAAAGCCATTTCCTGTTTGTACCTCTTGAGTTCAGTCCAGTGTGTGTGTGTGTGTGTGTGTGTGTGTGTGCGCGCGCGCGTGCGCGCGCACCTGTTGCTTCATCTGGCTATGTCAGAGTGTGGAGACTTTTCCCTCCACTAGAAAAGGTGCACTTTTCTAGGGATCAGAATTTGCTAAGTCC